CAGTTTTAATTTTTAATTTTTTTTTTCATTTTTCTGAAGTGCATCTCTAGCTTTTCTCTTAATGGAAACAACCCACAAGCTAATTCTCAGGTGATCTTACATATTAAATTATTACTGAAGCCCTGCTTCAGTTAATTTTCTTGATCAGGAATGTGGCTTGAATACATAAGTCAAACATTAAAGGATGTTAAGGAGTCAGATTTTGTGTCTTCTGAGTATGGCCAGCACCTGATCTCTCTTCTCCACTAGCCTAAGTCTAGAATAGTTCTATTACTGTAGATAAAGGCATTAAGAAGCAATTCCTTTCTTCCAGGAATATACCTAGTTTATATACTGACTTTATAAAATCTTTGGGATATATATAGGTCTCTGAGGGATCATTTTAAATAAGTAAATGAAAATTAATGGATTATAAGTCCTTTGGAGACATTTCTAAATTACATAATACATAATCAGTCAACCATGGGAGGCATTTCCCTACTCACCTCACCCCCTTTTTCCTATAGTTCTTAAGTATCGAGGGTCCATATTTTAATTCTCTTTCTCCATCAACCCAGCTGGCAGATACTTCCATTTTCTATTCATTTAATTAGAGGAAATGTTCCAGACATTCTGACACTATAAGATTTCTTTCCTGCTCAAATTCCCTCCTGGCAGGACTGCTCTATATGTTAGTGTGTAAGAATGTGCACTGCACAACTTCAAGGAATGCCATTCTCATTGTCACCTAAGGAGAATGTCCCCTCCTGGAGTTCTGCAGAGTTCAGTTTACATAGCTATACATGTTTCCATTCCTCCTGGCAACTGCTTACAAATAAGGACAGTCACTTCTGTAGTTAATATACAGTAAATTCCTACGTGACCTCTGTGAAGGTACACTGTAACATCTGATCATGTGACTCATTTTTCTCACTAAGAAATCTTTACTCCCTCTCCAGTCTCTTAGGGTTCAGTGTTACCAATAGATTCTAAAAGTGGTGGACTGATTTTTATCAGACACTTGGATAATGGGTTGTTCGATAAATTAAGTATCCTAGACACAAGACAGAAAATTCTGGCTTGAGAGATCTAGAGGAGGGCCTGGGAGCCAGTGTTTTTGAAAGTAGCCTCTTGTATCCTGACTTAGGCTGGATAATTGCATTGTACAGCCATGTTTTGGGAACATCAACTATAAGGCCCTTCACAACTGGCTTTGAGCAGTTTATCTTATTTCACACCTATGTGTTATGTTTAAGGCTTTCTGAAATATTCACCATCACTGAATTGGTATCCCAATTACATTCATTATATATTTCTTCTATCTGCAGGGGTTTTCTCCATCATTTCTGTTTTTTATTAAGACCTAAACAAATTTCTTTGGATTCTAGCACACTCTCCCCTATCATTGAGTTCTTATGACAGTTATACAAATGGTCCTCAAAAATGTTAGACCCCATGAATTTAAAAAACTATTAAGTACTTAACATCCTACATTTTTTTTGCATGTTTCCATCTTACATTTAAGTCACTATAGTGATAAAATCTCTAGCATATTAAAACACCAACTCTTTAATGTATGCTATCACTTTAAAGAATATATCTAAAGAAATGTCAATATTTTTCTTAGGTCAGGTTCTTACAGAAGAAGACATCATTCTAGTAGTATTTATTAAGCAGGTAAGCAGGTGCTTCCAGGAGAAATGGTTAAGAGAATGGGAAATACATCATAGGATTCAGATAAAGACTCGGCCTCAACCTGACATTGCTAGGAGTTTAAGTGGTAATTTTACATCCAAGTGTATCTAATTAGTGAGCAACAGAGTTATAGATAGATATAGATAAATAGATATATATAGATATCTATATATAGAGATCTATAGATCTATAGATAATATATAGAGATATATTTATATCTCTATATCTATCTATCTATCTATCTATCTATCTATCTATCTATCTATCTATCTATCTATCTATCTATATCCCAAAAATGGTTGTTTGGGTCCTCACAGTTCTCCCTTTGGTATTGCTGGGAATTGTAGTTTGAGTGACTGGAGTGTAGCTTCAGGGGGTGGAGTTGTAGTTTTGATAACTGGAGTAGGGGGTGGAGTCCACAAAATCTATATCTGCAGAGTTGGTTTAGCACATCCTTTCCCCATAACAAACCTAAAAGTGTGTTGAAAATCAATACCTTGCTGAGCTAATATTGATAGCACTTTTCATAAAACATATTTGCTTGAGTAAATGTCATGTGTTACTATAAGATATTAGTATCAATTCTATTTCAATTTTTTTCCTATACCTCTAAAATCTAAGTGATTTTGTTTGTTAAAAAAATACATAAGGCATATTATTCAGATACTGAATTTCTCAAGTTGTTTGTAAACAATTACAATGTTCTTTAATCTACAGCTATTTAAAAATATTCATTTGCTGACAATTGATTTTATAT